GAGGAAAAAATTAAGTTAAAAAATCGCCAAGTAAAAAAACAAATTTATTTTAAAATCTAACTAATTTTAAGCCGTTTTTTTATTTTTAAATATTTTGTTTTTTTTTAAGTAAAGTCATTCGTTGTGGACTATCTATCTATTGGAATATTATTTTCGGCATCATTGCTGTGTTCATCTAATATACTACGATTTAATTCTAATATTCTGGCTGATAAAGCACGTCGTCTTGGTGTACCAGATGATTGCTGTGATTGTGTATCTTCTAGGAGCACATTTTTTTCGCCTAAAGGATTTTCGATAAGCGCCAAATGATTTTAAATGAACGGTAGTAGACGGACGAATGAAATAGGCCATAGGTATTGCGTATTTGTTCGGATTTTTTTTGTTTAATATTTTTTTCAGTATTTTTTATTTATTTTTGTTTTGAATTAAGTAGTACATTGTAGATAATAGAGCAGATATTAAGATAATAGGAGAGAAGATAAAAACACAAAATAATAACTAAGTAATAATTGGAAAACATTTTTGTTTTTTGTATAAGAAAAGTATAAAAATAGATTTCGATATTTTTTTTTCTTTTTCTCTTAAAAAAATTTAACTATTTTCAGATGAATAAATATTTAAACACTAAAAAATAAGATAATTTAAAAAAAAGGAAATTTTGGTTTTTATGAAGCAAAATGTAATGCTAGTCAACAAAAAGTGAGATTCCACGTAATCAAATTTAAGTTTTTCTTATTTTTTAATTAAGTTTCGATATTTTTTTTGTTTATATTGGAACACATTTAGGCTCCTTATAGTGAGAAAGTTTTGACACATTAATAAAAATAAAAAAGAAAAAATCTACAAGTTTAATGTACAATCATATTTTTGTAAAAAAAAGATAAAAAAGCAACATTTTGGTGCTCGAATTTAAGAGTTGGCAAATTTTTGTATATTTTTTTTGGAATTGCCATCAATTTACTTTTAACGTGAAAAATTTACTTGCAACGCTATTAAAAAAATAATAGAATTTTGATTCTCTCTAATTGGAGCTTTTTCGCATTAATTCTTATTCTTTTCTTTTTACCTAATATTTTCAAAGAAAGAAATTCCTAAGTTTTAAAGTTTTTTCGAAGTGCGTAAATCAATACAATAATTAATGCTCTTAAAGCAATTCAAATGAAATCGCAATTACTCTTACTATATCATTCGTGTATACTCACATTGGAATTTTAACTGTACAAATTCAGGTTCTTTATAAACTTTGATAGATTCTTTAAGTCCAACGATTTGTTCGGATTCTTGTCGGAGACACTAATTTAATTACAGGAATATTTATCATTCTCAATTAGGAGTGTAGGACGAGTTTTTTGCGCGTGATTTTGAAATACTAATCGTACTATCGTTCAATCACTAACTTTATGTTGATAAGATGTTAAAGGACCTTTATCTAAATTAATCTCTGAATGTTGTCACCCGCATATGGAGGTGAATCGCAGGCTTGCAGTTTTAAAAATACATAGGCTTCAACGGCGAAATTGCCATGGAAATACAACGAAAAAAAGTTTGTGTCGTGATTAATTCTTTGAATTAACGAATTGCAACGGACACGTGACTCTGTAAAGAGGTAGGGATTGTCTCAGTGGATTCTATTGTGCACTCTTTCTTATTTTGATAACGAGCATGGCTGGCACAAACTCGTTTAGAAGGAAAGGAGTGCTAGACTAAGCATCTGTCATAAAAGCGATTGCTTATGTATCTTTTAGAAGAATTTTTGAATCTTTATCTTTATCAAGAGTAGCAGCTTTTTCTATATGATGAGGATTTTTAATCGAAAAAATAAAGATTTGGTATAGTAGTTTTTTTTATAAGTAATTTTTTCAATCTCTTCCTTCTTTGGGAATTTAATTGAACTTTAATTTTTAATATTTTAAATCGTGTTAACAAATTAACAATCGTGTAACTATACATATTACATTTTAGTTATTATTACTTTGCATTTTCATTATTCTCTATTAATTATTCCGCATTCACCACCTGCAAAATAAATTGTAGTTCCAAATCATCCTCATTCATCCATTCCATATTTTTAGGACATTTATTTTTGTCCAGAAAAATTGAAAGATTGTCCATATCTGAGATTTCTTTTAAATCGGGCGGAGACGCAATACCTTTAAAATTCATATACTGTTATGTTCAAGAATAATGTTATAGAATAAAGTTATTTATTTTAAGTACACACACAAATAACTTACTGTTCATATAAATTTTTGCTACGTTTTTTAATTTGCTTATAAAGTGCTAATCTATTAGAAGTTTTTAAGTGAATATTCTGCGACTTAAATGACTAAAGTATATGTAATTATAATAAGATAAAAAGTTAAAATAATTGCAGACTATACTATTCAATACGAATATACTATTTAAGAATTAGGAATTTGTAATTTTTAGTAAATTTTATATTTAAACTTGGTAAAATATATGTACGATTTTTTGTCTACTTACGAAAACACTGGCAATATTACACAAAGTAAAAATATTGACGGTAAGTGTTTGAAGAAAAGTTTTTTAACGCATTTTTTCTCAATTATAATTAAGTCTATATATTCTGTCGGTAATAAAGAATAAAATAGTGAAATAATTTTTAAACAAAATTGAAAGAACATAAATAAATTTGTACTGTCTTCATAATGAAATGAAATAACCTTACAACATATTCCAAATTATCAATATGTAAATATTTCGATATTTCAATTTATTATCCCAACTATGTATATGCATATTTTCTTCTATCAAAGAGGTTACAACTGCATAATTATGAAATATGAATACTGGTTGAAATACGAGTATTACGATTAAAGTGCAGTGTTTTTGAAATTTTAACATTATACATACTCGTATCTCTCATTTTTGTTTTTATTTCTGCTTGTACTTATGTACATATGTATTTCATTATATTAATATTTTGAATTTCTATTTATATTTAAAACTTAGGAATTTTATTAAATTATACGATTTATAGAAAACAAAAAAAAAACCCAATATTTTATTTATTCAGAAAACATAAAATTAATAATATCTCAACCATTTCACATTATAATTATCTAATCATTCAAACATATGCACGAAAATTAAATTTATTTTTGTTGAAAACATTACTTTTTTTTCAAATAAATTTCTAGTAAAACTTGTTTAATATTAAAATATATAAAATTTATATTTACATTGCATTTAATAAAATTCAAACTATATTTTTATTTTATTTAATTATTATACTTTTTTGAGTTTAATATATATTTAAATACTTATCTATATATATAAAATACATATTATGTATATACATTTATCTATGTGTAGGTATTATGTAAATAACATTGGCATTCATTTCCCAGTATGTCAATAGTTTGCAATGGGTGTTAGTCACAAATTTAAGTTTTACGTCAGAATTTATTACATGCAAAATACTATACAGTTAGTTTTACCGTTCTAGTGTTGTTCTAGATTAGAAAACGGGAATCGTTCGTCGGTGCCGCTTAGCGCTTTGGTTATATTGCCACAATTAAAGGGATCACGAAGCGTGGCCAACGCAATTGAAAATTACTTTGGTAGTTTTTTTTTTGCAATTTTTTTTAAATGATTGTGCGTAAGTAATTCTAATATATCATTTGCAAAATTTGCAAGCGATTGAAATATGAATTTCAAAACTTTAACATATTGGGAAAAGATCTATATGTATTTTACACAATCTTTTTTGCTATTAAATTATATTGCTAATATTTAAATTTCTTAAAATGTATATGTATATATTATATATTACATAAAATATATATGTATGTATATAACAAATTTAAAATAAAACTCATAACATAAAATATAAGGAATTATAAACTTAATTTTTAAACGGTATAATAATTTAATATATTAATTAATTAATAATAATAAGAAAAATATACTATAAAAACTGTTTATGTATTAAAAAAAAATTTAATATAAATATTTCTTTTTTGTAAATTATATGTATAAATTTTTTAAAAGCTTTAGTCAGTTTTCTTAATATAACTGTAAAATTTTTCTCAAACTTCTAATTATTAAAAGAATTGACCAAAATAAAAAAAATTAATTTTTATTACATTTAAATTAAAATTCAATTTTCAGGCGCATTCTACTAATTTTTGTTGATTTATCTATGTATAAATAAATAATTACTATTCAAATTTATATAAAAGCAATTTCCCATGCAGATAACAGAAAGTGCCATTAAAATCCCTATTAAATGATTTTTTTTTAAATTATTTTTTCAACAATTTTATAAAAATTTTTATATAACTTTGACTTGACTTCTATGACTTGCCTATCTGTTCATATAGGAGTGAAGATTATTCCGGATTTATATTTTCTATATAAATATTTTATTATTCTAAAGAAAAGTTTAAATATAATTAAATTTTTGAATATTTAATTATAGTTTTTTACGAGAGAAAATCTTAAAATCTTTTAACTATAGAAACAGCATTTTTAAAACTTTTCATAAGTTGCCAAATAAAAAAAAACAATACGAAAATTTTAAGTTCACAAACGTTTTTTTGTACATCAATTACAAAAAAAGCACTGTAATTAGCGAATTAAGCGAATTTTCAATATATATATATTTGAATATATGTATGTAATTAATCAAATTCGAAATTTATTTTACAGAGCATGCATTAAGTTATTGAAATTGTTAAAAAAAATTTTTTTGTTAATTTTTCACACACAAGCAAAATCAAAAACAAACCAATAGAGGAGCAAAAAAATTTCGTTTTATGAAAACAAAAGAAAAATATTAATTTTTGCATTTACAAAATTTATTTTATAAAAAAAGTACAACAAATAAAAAATTTGCGTTAGATTGAAAAATTTTATTTTATTTATTTTTGAAAAAATCATTGCTTAAGAGAATTAAAACAAAAGTTTACAAAAAAAAAAACAAAAAAACTAAACAAAAAAATTGTTTTTATTTTTAAAAAAATTGAACTTACCCGTGTCAACGATAACGTCTATTAGATCCATACTTTTGGCAAATGCGTCCCTCAAATTGATATGATGAAATGATACAATGCTACCTTCACGTTTAGCACGATCCAGAGCTTCCCTACGTTTCAAAGCTTTTTCTCTACGCATCTGATTTTTATAAAATTCAGCGAAATTATTAACAATGATGGGAATAGGTAAAGCGATAACCAGTACACCGCATATGCAACAAACAGTACCAATAACCTTTCCCAGTGCAGTAGTGGGATAGATGTCCCCGTAGCCAACAGTAGTCATTGTAATACCCGCCCACCAAAATGTTTCCGGTATTGAAACAAATTTTGTTTGTGGTTCATCCTTTTCAGCAAAATATGCTAATGATGAAAATATGAGAACGCCCATTGCCAGGAACAACATAAGTAGACCAAGTTCCTTATATGAATTACGTAATGTAAAACCTAATGACTGCAGGCCCGTTGAATGACGGGCCAGCTTAAGGATTCGCAGGATGCGCATGATGCGAAATACTTGCACCACCCGGCGCACATCCTGGAACTGGTCCGTTGCATTTTTATTTGTCTCCAATAAAAATAATGAAACAAAATATGGTAATATTGCTAACAGGTCTATTACGTTAAGGCCACCTTTAAAAAATTTCCATTTATCTGGTGATGCACTAAATCTTAGCACATATTCTAATGTAAACCATGATATACAGACGGCCTCAACCATAGCCAATTGTGGATTATCCTGAGGAGCTGAAGTATTATCGACATGATGTTGTAATTGTGGTAAGGTGTTCAACGTCAGGGCTATGGTAGACAGGACTATAAACAGGATAGATATCACCGCGATTACCTGTAATGGTAATTGATTTTCTTTGTTTTTGTTTTTTTTTTTTCTGTTATTGTTGTGCTTTTGTTATACATATAAATTTCTTCATGAAGAATTTTTTTTCGTTTTTGCCTATTCTTTTCTTTTTTGTAGTTGACTCTTATATTTTTAAGTGTTAGAAGTTTGTAAAAAATGTATAGGTTTTGTTACATTTTGGGAAAGGCATAAAATATACGCTACTATATACACGCCACAATAAATATATCATAATATGAAACTAATATGGTGAGAATTGAGATTTGTTCAGAAAGGTATTCAAATAATCTATATATGGCATAAATAGTTACTTTTTTGTAAAAAATATAATTATATGTGTTTTTATTCAACACTCATCTCAATTACGATATTCATCTTCTTATTATTAACTTATATACAGTTATATAAAAAATTTCAAGTATAACCAAAATGGTTATATCGTTTAAACCATTTATCGTTTAAACCATATCGTTTAAAGCTATTTAGAAACAGGTACATAAATGTATAATAAATTATAGAATATGTATACAAATTCGAAAACGGGGAACGGCACGTAAAAGTTAAAAATATTAAAATTGATCTCATCTTTAATAGTGACTGTTCTGAGAATTTCATCAAGTGGTAGTGATATTTTATCATAGACACACATCATTAGGCTGAACGGTTTTTGTTTAAATTTACAATTTTAAATACATTTCGGAAAAAATATTACAAAAACACTCAAAAGTATAAAGAAGACGAAAAACTTGATTAAACTTTCTATCACTTTCAATATTAATTTTCTTGTTAAATTGTTTAACTATTTTTCACAATTTTAACAGAATTAACCTAAGTTTTTTATTTAATTAATTTCATGTTCTCATATGTGGATACACATTTATTTATATATATATATACGTTATATATAGTAACGATTTTTAATAAAAATGCCTTTCTAAATGTAAATGTTGTTAGTTTTAAGGAATATTTTAAATAAAAAAATTCAAAAGTCCTGTTTTTTGTTTTAAATTTATAGAAAAGAAAGATAAAATTTGAAAAAACTGTCATTTGTTTTTGAATATTAGTTTTTTTTTTTGTATGTATAATAATACGAGTATATTATGAATGTATATAAAAAGAGTGTGTAATACGTTAAGTACGTTAAAGATATTACATAGATAAGTAAATTGTTTTCAAAGAAAATTTTTCCTATATAAGGTAAAAATTCACAAAAAGGTAAAAAGGATGATAAACATAGGCTTAATTATTAGAAAAAAAATTAATTACAACTTTTCGAAAACATTTTTAGTTTGAATTATTTGTTTGTTATTGGAAAAATTGCAAATAGGAAAGCTACCTAAGAAAGTGCTATATGAAAAAGAAAATATTGCAACTAATTTTATAGAAAATATATCTATATATGTTTGTATATAGACCTATTTCAAATGTATGTAGGTATACATTTTGTATGTAATTTGCATTGTAGAAGATTGTTGGCAAAGCTGTTGCGATGAATTCCTCATTTATTTTTTTTTACATTTTAAGATTTTTTCTAAATTTCAATATATTTAACTGTATATTAATTTTGAACTATAACTTTTTGATTATTTTCTTTATATTAAAGATGTTTTCAAAAATGTACGTTTAAATGTTGTATGTTTCTAATACATATATAATATGTATGTATATTCTTTTATGTTATTTTTTTTATATAATCGAATTGTTCTCTCCTTGTACTTAAAGTTCAAGAGTGCCTTGTTGTCGAATTAAGAAAAAAGTTCAACAAGTAAAAACCAAGAAAAAAAAGGAAAATAAAAAAAATAATAAGAATCGAATTAATATTAACCTACCGAATAAATGTAATGGAATGTAATGACGAAAATTCAATGTTAACTACTTTCACAAAGGTTTATTTTGCAATACTAAAAAATAATTTAAATCATTACAACACTATATTTTAAATGCCAAATTAAATTAGCTATTACGATAACAAATTTAATACTTATATGAAGAAAAGTGTACGTGTGTTAGAGTGTTCCTGTGTTTCACACATAATATCATAAAAAAAAAGAAATTATTGGGAAATTGATGAGAAAAAATTAGTGAGAAAATGTGAAAATGATTCACTCTTTTCCGTGTTATGAGTGTGTGTGAGTTTGATAAAAAAGTGAATATTTCTATATTCCACAGAGTGAGATTACTATTTCCGTGACTTATTTTTTTCGTTTTCTATATTAAAAAAAAGGAAAGTGATTTTTTATTTACTATAAAATAATTTAGCTTCAAATTTTTATGCTTGTGTAAAGTTTCATAAAAAAATTTAATTGATAATTAAAAGAAATGTTAATTTTTATTGTAAAAATAAAGCGAATATAAAAATAAGTACGCAAAAGTAGAAATTGAGAAATTTTTAGAACTAAATAAGATATTTCCAATTCGAACCAAATAAACTTAATATAAAAAGCAAAAAAAAAAATCTTCTAATTGAAAACTAAACTTACTCAAAGTAATATATTCAAAAATCACTATTTTATTCTGCAAAAATAATTTTAGCTAGATTTAACGTAGTATATTTTATTTATTAATGAATTTCTATAATCAATCTAATTTCTTAATACAGTTTGCTAAATATTGAATGGCACTTTTATGCTTATTTAGTTTTAATAATAAATATTTAGTTTTGAAAATAAATTACGTATTTCGGAAGTTACTTATGTGTTTGAAAATATTTCAAAAATTTTGCTAATCAAAATCTATAGCATTTCAAGCCAGATATATAGAATTGAAAATATTGCATTTTTAGAAAAATTACTTTTATAAGATACAAAATTTATATGAGAGTTGACATTTCGTTGTTTTCGCGTTATACATTATCAATTGATACAAGTAACTAAGTAAAAAGTAGGCATTATGTATTTCAATAAATTGTTAGTAAAAATAAAATAGTACAACGTCAATTCGACAATTTGTATTCAAAAAGTAAAAATTACCGCAATATACAACTTCAGCGCATGCAAAAATGCATGCAAAAATGTATGCACTTATTTAAATTTTAAAAAAATTACACAAGAAAATGCCCAATAAGTATACATATAATTCAATAAATTAGACTGATTATAGTTATAGGTTCTTTCTAAATTGAGTACGGTACTGAGTTCAATTCAAATTTTATTAATATTTTTTGTTAAATGAATTTTAAATAAAAACTGAAGTGAAACTTTTCACAAGAAATTTTTATGAAAAACACATTTATTTTTTTTTGCCTAATAGAGAAATAATTCTTGATAATTTATAGAAAATTTTTTTAAAGTCACAAAATTATTTAAAATAATTAATATTTTAGGAAATCTTATTCAAAATATAAAAATTTGTCAAATTCATAATGACTTGAAATGATAATGAAGCAATATTTCTTTGCAAAATCAATTAAAAAAATTAATTTAAAAAACAAAAAAACATTTTTTTTTTTGGTTTACATTTTTTGGTTTGTTATTATTTTAAATTTAACTAAAGGAGAGCTTTTTTAAATTGACTTATAAATTTTCAAATATTACCAATTAAGAGAAAAAATAAGAAAATTGTACGATATAAAATAATATATGAAATATATTTATACATAAATAATTAAAAAATTATTCAAATTATTGTATATAAATTTATTTTAAAACGTACAATTTTCCACCCTATATTTTATATATTGTATTATAAATATTGTAATTTATGTATATATAAGGAAATTATGGAAGAACCTATTATCGTAGAAAAAATCTTAATGGCCATTTGTATAGATGAGATTAAAATATTTAAAAATAATAAAGTTTCGGGTCTGCAGTCAAAAATTTTAAAATTATTTTTGTCGAAATCAATACACAAAATCATGTATGTTCTAGGATATTTTTAAATTCAATGGTCTAAAAAATATATGCGATGATAATAAAAAATTTTATATTTTGTATAACAGCAATAATAATATTATATACCAATTTGAGTACTTGTATATGAATATAACATCGATTTTGAAGAGAATTTATTTTTAAAATTTGTAATTTTAAAAATTCGCCTTATTCATAAATGAAATTTTATGAATAAATCACCTGTGTAGGTAAAATGGCAAATAATTAAAATCTTAAAATATATATTAATATAAATTCGCAACAAAATTATTTATTTAAGTATTTGCAAAAATATCGACATATTACACGTGTGTTCTTTTACAACAGATTATAAAATAAACATTTTTTTTATTAATAGCCATTTGTTTGAGTATTTCCCTTTTTCAGTCACATATTTTAGTCGCTTTTAAACTCACTAGGATTTTTACTACTTTAATTAAAAAATTTTTATTTTAAAAATAAAATTTTCTAGCTTCAGTAAATATTTTGAAATTAATTATACATATATATCTACTGAACTTGTCATAGTGCCCTTCAGTCGTCATATTCAAAAACAAAGAGACTGAATAGGAGAAAAATTTTTTATATTTTTGGAAAAAATGAGAATTATATTACGATAAAAATTAGTTTCCTTTGAAAATTATATTGTACAAATTTATGCTTCTTACTCACTTTCTTTACACTCGGTAAGGTAAAAAAAGGGAGATACACAAAAAATAAGGCTTAATATACTTAAAGCAACATTGATATATAGCTATTATATTATGTATTATATAGAAAAAATTATATAGTATGTATTTTTCATTCAAAAAAAAATAAATGTTAATATTTTATTTACGCGTTCATAAAAATTTAACAATTATTACAATTTATATTATTATGCATGATAAATAGTTTTTTGTTTTGAAGACAATGGACGATCATTTTCAAATCAAAGCTACTTTTACATTATATTTATGTAATTTTTACATATATGTATATAATTATTAATGTGGTTCATTTAATATTATGTATTTAATATAATATATATAATACGTTATGTATATTAAATATGAATAATAGTAACATAAAAGTTGAAATGAAAACATAAAAAAAATCGCATTATGCAAAATAGTT